TGAAAACTAAGGAGGGTTGGCTCACTGCAGAGAAGAGGGTGAAGCCACTGGGCATCCTGCAGGAATAACTCCTACTGCGTCACTGAGTGGAAGGGGAGGCTGGAGATGGCACGGGATAGAGCCCGAGCCGTGTGAGGCTGGGGACAGACCCCGAGGTGTAAGAGGCTGATGAAAGGGGAGGTTAGAAACACACCCCGAGGTGTAAGAGGCTGATGAAAGAGGAGGTTAGAAACACACCCCGAGGTGTAAGAGGCTGATGAAAGGGGAGGTCAGTCCAGGGAAGGAGAACTGTGGTGTAAGGCCCATGAACACCTCACTTACCTTAGCCTCAGCTGCTCGTGGGTACAGCATGAAGAATCCAAAACTGGACTTGGTCATTAAGGGTGTGTATTTCAGCTCTCAAAGTCCAGGAGAAACCTTTCTCTGCCTTCATTCCTTCCAGTTTGCAAGGTGAATGTTGGTCCTACAAGGAAAGCTTTGGGAGACAGAAGAAGAGCTTAATCTGAAAGTTGAGAGGCAAAGACTTTAAATGCCCTAAATTTCTTGGGGTTTGTTACAACAGTGGGTGTAGAGCCTTTCTCAGTGTCTGCTGTTAGGGTCAGATTTTTACTGATGGACAGTACCAGATAGCACCAACATCTAAGGGGCATATATAAAAATAAGGAAACTAAGGCCTTAAACACAAATCCCATCAGAGAGGCATATCATGAGGTGATTTAGCATCCTCTTAGGTTTGTCCTTTCCCTGAATCAAGTTATTAACACATAAATGGTTGCAAATGAATCTGATTATTTTGCTTATATTGCTGGCTGTGTGTATCTGTGTCTTTGCATGATACTCTACCTTAGCAAACTTTTCAAGCTGATTGCAGTCATGCTTTTCCTGTCAAAAGTGTATTGGGAGTAGATGGGGAGTGTGATCTGAAGAAGCACTTTTTTCTATGAGTCATCTATGCCGTCTGCCCAAAACTCAACAGCTGTATTAATCTTTGTGCAACTTTTCATTTCCACCAAGTGGATTTTAATAGCTGTTACAATGAGAGTCGTCATACATTGCTAAAGCCATTTTTGTTGTGTTTACATTTCAAGTGTTCAGAATGACTTCCTTGGCTGACACTCCCCCAAATTACGAAGTGATGTTTGCTCATCGATTCACGTCGGATGATGAAGAGTACCAAGAATATCTGAAACGCCCTGCAGATCCCCCTCCTATAGTTGAAGAATGGAGAAACAGATCTGGTGGCAACCAGAGAAACAGAGATCGGTACTGGTTTGGGTTTTGTTTTGGGTTTTTTTGAATCTTGGTAGTTTCACAGATGCATAGTTAAATGGTCACTTACTTCAGAAGAAATATAGGAATCTGTTCTGTTAATAGAAGTATCTTCTTGTTACTGCATAGGTAACTTTAAGAGAAATAGTCTTCTCTGAAAAGTAATGAGGTTTTACATTTTCTGTGTTTTGATAGGTAGAGTTTTTGCATTGTGTGTAAAACTACTAAATAATTTGCTTTTTAGAAAAGAATGAGCTGAAACCACTGAATCCATTGCCCTGGAGTTTGTTACTGCTTAGCCAGGAACATTTTTCCAGAGGGGAAAGATGAGAGTTCTGCAAAACTAAGCAGCCTGTTTCTGTTGGATGATAACTAGCAGGAAAACGTGCAAAGGAACAAATTATCTGTTGCTAGCTGTCCTAAAAACATTTCATTTGTAACCTAAGTATTTGCTGTACTTTTTAAGATTAGCCTGTACTTCTTTTATCTAGTAAAAATGAGTGTAAAATCAATCATCCAGTCTGTCTGGCGAGTACAGTGTTACCTGCCCACTGCAAAATATTTTGAGTGATTTCTTCAGGAAGTAATAGCAGCTTTTGACTGAATTTTGTGCAGTAACATCTGATTTTTGAGTGACTGAAAAACAGCGATTGCAGCACATAGTATGTTTGGTAATACTAACATCAGCCTTTAGTAGAAAGGAATTAAACTCAGTCCAGCTAACAACTGGGAAGACTTCTCAGCTAATATCTAAGGAGTCATTTATGCCTTATTTAAGGAAGGACAACATTCTAACTTTTTTGCACCCTAGAAGCTTGTAATTAAACACAGAATTAGTTTCTGCAGATTGAGGAAAGGTGATTGGTCAAGGAGATGTTCTTAGAAAACTCTGTGGCTCTTTGAACTGATGAACCGATGAACATCTCTACTGTGGTCACAAAGTGAACCTCATGCAAATGTTGTTTGTCCACACCACACTATTTGAAACAAAATGACTGTGAGGGAGCCCAGGTGTTGCTAGGAATTAAGATACATCTGAAAAGCCAAAATTGAGACTGAACAATGGTTAAATACCATTGATTAGGTACAGTGTCTTGAGCATGGGAATCTGCAAGAGACTGTGCTAGAGGTATTTTAGTGGTAGTGTGTACTTTAGGGAATATGCAAATGCTAGGACTCTCTGGTTTTAGGTAGCTACATTCTACTTAAGCCTGCTCTGCCAAAGCTTTCAATCATGAAGTTACTAGATGGAACCTGGCTTGGATATATCTAGGGAATGTACCTTCTGGTTGTTTTTTAGACACATGGTCTGAGTCTCTGTTCGAAGTTTCATCAGTTCACCTAATGCCTGTGAGTACTTTGTGATAGGAAACAGACTGTCCTACTGTCACTTAGCAAATGAGTGTAGGGTAGTAGTAAGAAATTAATGAGTGATCTCAGATGATTGTTTTCATGAGTTTGTCACAGAAACAGGTAAGTATTTGAGCTTATAAAAAGTTATGTGAGTTTCCATGAAAACTGTAAAATTTAAGGGTTCATTATCATTCATCTTTTTAAAACTTCCTGTGAAACTTTGATATATTCTTTTCATTGCAGGTTTCAAGATGGCAGATATTTTAGAGGAGACAGATACAACTGGCAAGGTGACTACAGATCTAATCAGAGGCCAGACAGAGGTTGGGGTAATAACTACCAGCAGCACAGACAAGGACAATCGTACTCATCCCACTATGGACAGTATGGCTACAACTCCTTCAACCCGGGGCCTCGTTATCATTCCTACTGATGTACTTATGGCTTGAAAGTCCAGTAATGCTCTGTAACAAATTCAGTTAGCTTTGAGTTTTCTTATTTTTCCACAGTTTTATAGATAAGTGAAGAATAGGTGTTACAATCCATTGCTGTTTCTTTGTAGTGTGAATTGAAAAAGGGAATACCTTTCATGAATAATAAAAGCATATTATTTGGAGTTTGTTTAGAGTCTGTAGATTGTAGATTAAATTTCTATTTCATTCTTTTGTCTGAATATGTACTGGTACATGTCTTTTCTTCCATCACTGAGCTTTCTCTCTGTTAGATTTTAGAAAACAAAACAGGTCAGGGGAGGATAGCTGTGGTTTGCCTGTAGCAGTGGCACATTGCCTTAAGATAGTTATTTTTGAAAGTGACATAATGTGTCTCTCTGTGGAGAGAATGTCTTAGTTTGGCTTTTGACAGTGAGAAAAGCTCAGTTTGGTTTGAATTTCAGATGCCTTAAAACTGAGAAGAGAGCTCCTATTACAGAAATATTTTATGGGGTTGGTATAGTGTCTTGACTCAATGGCTTCAATTCGTTTGCAGTATCCTCTTAAAACATGGTCTAAAAGTTGGAATAAAAAATAGGTAGTTAAATATGTATCTTCTTCTTGTAGCAGTTCAGTGATATAGAAGTTTTACCTGCGAAGTGATATCAGACTTAGATTAATCTGTGTCATCTTGAAATAAATTTGGCATATGCATAACATATTTTGGAATTCCCATTTCAGTAAAGCTGTAAAACTTTGATGATATTGTAGTTTGTATGAAATACTTTCTGCATGTTATAGAAGAAAGGAACCTTGATCAGTACTGGTCTGTACTGTTTTCTGTATGAGAAAAGAGCATAAGCAGTGCAGTGTGACTTGGTTCTTAGGATTTAAGATTTATGGGGGATTTTAAGTATTCACACAATAAAAGTATAGTTCACGTGTAAGAATGTTTGTGAATCTTTCTGAAACCTACTTTTGAACCGTTCAGGATTGCAACACTGTCGTCTTGGCTGACAGCTGCACAAGGAGCTGTACCAACAGATAAGTGTTAATACTGGACAGCTGTGGGTTTAAGTTAGAAGAATGGCCTACTCAGCTGCAATCAGGAGGATGAGACATATTGTGATTAATTAGAAGTCTGGAGTGTTAATCCATTATCTTACATTCTGCCATAATAGGGTCAGAGTTCTCTATTTTCCCATTTACGTGATAAGCTAATTTGTATCAGGAGAGCTGTGCCTGTCTTTGTACTTGACATTTTCTTCAGCTGCTGTACAGGAACACAGACCCATCCCTGCTGACTGCTGTAAAAGTCATGGCATTATGCGATAAGGAGCACAAATTAGTGCATCTTGATTTAAATACAAAATACAGAAGTCAAAAGCACAGTCCCCCAGCTCATCAGATGCTTTTAAGAGCTACAGGGTGTTTACTGTTGACCTTGGAAACAAACATTCACTGTATGTAGCTTTTGCATAGGCTGCAATACAAAAGCTGTGACACAAATGTCTCCACCTACCTGCTAAGCATTTGTTTTCTGCTTTGATAAAATGCTCTTAACCCTGACACAAGTTTTAATATCCTACTGCCTGAAGTATTTGCCTTAGATTCACTTAGAAATGTTTTCACGAGAGGTTTGTTTTTCCTTCAGGAGTTCTACAGGATGACATGCACTTTTTTAACCCTCATGGATATAGCAGAGTTGTTACATTGGGAGATACAAGATCATGCAAAGTTCTTACCTGTGCATTATGTAGAGCCTGCAGGTTGGTACGGTGGAATTCCCTTTAAATGCAGAATCCTGAGCAAAGTGCCAAACAGCCCAGACTCCTGACTCCAAGAAGGGAGTGCATGTCTGTCTGCAAAGAGCCTGACAGTGCCAGCTATGCCACGGAAGTCAGGCTGTGCCAGGATGTTCTTCCTTACCATCTGGAGTAGCATCTCAGGTTGAAATAAAACCTGGCAGAAGGAACAGATTCTGTTTCATCTGTTGCCTTTCCTCAAGCCCAGTAACTATTTTCCGCTAGTGAATAAGGAATCCTGGAATGGTCTGAGTTGGAAGGGGCATTAAAGGTCATCTAGTCCCAACCTCCTCTGCTGTGGGCAGGGACAAGTTCCACTAAATCAGGTTGCTCCAAGCCCCATCCAACCTGGCCTTGAACTCTTCCAGGAATGAGGCATCCACAACTTCTCTGTTTAATCTGTTCCAGTGTCTCAACCTGATAATTTTTTCCTAATATCGTCTGAAGCCACCTCCTTTCAGTTTGAAGCCATTCTCCCTTTTCTGTCACTATGTGCCCTTGTTAGAATTCCCTCTCCAGCTGTCTTGAAGTTCCCTTAGGTACTTACTGGAAGGTGCTATAAGGTCTCCCCAGATTCTTCTCCAGGATGAACAATCCCAGCACTCCCAGCCTGGCTTCCTGACGGCGTGATGAAGCATTCCAGGGCTGTGCAGCAAAGCATTCCAAAAAACATCAGGTGTAGTATTCCAGAAAATGGCAAATCCAATCTACAACAGTGTGGCTGTAGAAGCAGATAGATCAGGATGGTCCAGGTGGAAGTTATGAATTAGAATCACATGTTTCATGGTCTCAGCTCTCTTGTTCTGGCTGTGAGACCAGGAGAGACAGGCCAGTGCAGCTTCCCAGTTTGTCTCTTTACATTCTTAACTCCATCTGCCTTACCAGTAGAGCTCTCAATTCAACTTTAATGACCTGTATGAAACTTTTCCTCAGAACAATTACAGCAAGATCTCATTTGGGGCAGGAGTACATTGCTAAATAAATGCTTGTCTTGCAGACAGAAAGGTAAATATAATTCAAAGTATAGCACCTCCAGCAGTTTCCACTTTGATGAAGTAGTATTTACAATAAAGTCCAGTTTACTGTCTCTGTCAATCTAAATAAAACTAGTTAAGTATTGCCTGTGATTATGGTTTGTGCATTACAGTGTGTTACAGATGACAACACGCTGAAGCTGAGTAACTTTAACATTTGCAACTTCAAACATTACAGAAATTGTTTGCTTTAACTACGCTGGAGGTCACAGGGTAAACATTAAAATTCAGTGTGTGGGATCTGACTTTAAGAGATCTGACATTCGCTCAGACATCATTATTGTCATGAATAAAACAAAGATAAGTGTTATGTATTAAAAAATAACTGCCACTTTAACAAGAGTTTGAACACTACAGAAGTTCTGAATATGGCTTTGCAGCAGTTCTAAATCTGTTCCTGAATACATATAGCAATTTTGCATGGATTGTTAATTGATACTGAACAATAATCCTGCTAAATTACAGGACAGAAATCAATAGCTTGTATACAATTTCTTAACGGGCGTTTTAAAAAATGCTAAAGGGCTTTGAATCACAGCTAAGCCCCTAGATACTTGAAGGCAAAAGAAAGTGCACAGTAAAAAAAAAAAAAAAAATCTTAGTGTGATTTGTGAGATTCAGTTTTACAAGTGTTCACAGCTATTCAACCTCTATTTCATCCTGTCTCTGCAGCTGGGAGCAGAAATGTGCAGGTGTGCTCTGAAAGGTTAGTTAGAAGCTGAACCACTTTCAAGAGACTCTCTAGTGGCTATTTCAGACCTGGAAGACAAATGTCATTTCTGATATAAATATAATCAACATTCGACTCCTAAAACAACTCCTAAACACTAACTCTACTGTTTGAATATATTTTAACATATTGCAGCAGTTATACATTTGAATGTATTTAAACTCAGACTATTAATTTGCTAATAAATATTCTGCTAAACCAAGAAATGTGTTCACATTTGCTTCTTATACTGAGATGTTGGAAGGAAAAAGCTTTTTGCATCAAATTAAAGTGAAGGTCTTACCTGCCACCACTCAACTCTGAATTACACAGCTATGGGGAATTTTGCTAGCTGGTCCAACTGTGCAGTCACACCTTCTCTAACTGACAAACAAGAGGGGGTAGAAATATGGAGCAAGCAGAAGGGAAAACAGGACTGCTCCTTACAGCAGCTACTGATTGCCTTGGGAACAAATTGACAAAAATGCATCTATGCATCTCCCTTGCCTTTCATTTGCCAATCAGGAAAAAATTACTATAATCTGTCCCCTTGTCCCTGTATGTTAGGAGAGAGCTATATAACCCTCCTTGAATTATGCACAGTGCTGATACTCTAATGCCCAGAAGCTAAGCAAGATTATAGGGCAGATCAGGTTTCCCTGAAAGCACCTAGGAAAAATGCAGCCTGATTCGAGACACACAGAGGTAAATCCTAGAGATCAAAACAGAGTCCAGCAGCTCCAGCACTGCCAGGAGAGTAGATGGCAACAGTACTGTGGTGGTGCACAAATGATCTTGCCTCTCAAGAGGCTTATTTTTTGATTAGGCCCTGCAGGCTGGAATGTATTTTTGTGTTTATCACGGCCTATATTTTTCTTCAGAAAGCCTGGACTGCACTTAGTGGTTGTCAGACCTCATTTGCTTATGCGAAACAGTGATGCCAAAGTGTTACTTCTACAGAGCTCATCCCCTGACTTTCCAAGTACTCTGCCCTGTTAACATGCAAATTTATTACAAGAGATGGTGGAAGTTGCTAATAACGTTTTACTCCGAGTCTAATAAACACCTAACAGGATAAATCATGTCATGGTCCTCAATGCTTACCTTCTGTTATTTGTGACTAGCACAAAATCAAATGAATGTTGCCTTTTTCCTAACACAGAGATGCTTTTTTTTCCAAGCAACACTTCAGCAGCTGGATGCCTTTTTTTCCCCACAAGTATGGGCTGCTTTTTTTTTTTCTTTTGTTGCATATCACATAATTCAAACTTGGCTTCATTAATGAAATGTCTCAATAACAAGGATCAAAGCTGTTCCTGCCATTGTTTGAAGAAAAAAACCACTTATCTCTTGAAGAGCTGAGTTAAAGTTAAGAAAATAACTTAGTTATTTGTTCTAGAACTACAAAAATAACCAAGGCTCAGCCTCACCCATGAAAAAAATAACCTGCAAGAATTCAAGCAGAACCTTCAAACTGAAACATGTTAGATGTTAAAAGAATGATTAAGACACTAAGCTTTTTTCAATGCTCTTGTTCAGTGTGAAGAAAGACAATTTGGTATTTATATATCCACATAAATTAAATACTTTAGATTCTAATCAGTACTGTTGAAACAAAGGTAAAAAGCCCAAGCACACTGTAAGATGTTTTGCACAGCTTTTGGCCAGGGTCAGCATGATCAGAAAGCAAATGCTTTTTGTCCAAAGTCATGTCTGAAGTTTGTTTCTGAAGAAATGCTTGAAGTATTATATTTTTCTATTGAAAATGTGCTCAAAAAAATAAAGTAACACTAAGAATTGCCAAGAGCAACCAGCCCCAAATGATTACATACTCTTTTTACATAACAAGGAAATTATATTTTCCATAGCAAAGACCTGGTTTTTGGTCATCATGTCATCTTGATTTAGGAATGCCACTGAGACCTAAACCAAAGTACATTTCAGAATACTGCTTCAGTGGTTTTAATGGTATGAGCATTTAAACACAGCATAGGAAACCTCTGGAGTTTAGATCAGTTTAGAACAAGAGCTCTGTGGGGACACACATTCTTCTCAGATCAAGCTCACATTACTCATTTACAAACCACAGAATTGAAACACCCACTCTGGAGTGAGCTGACAGAGCATCAAGCCTGGGGTATACATATGCTCTTCCAAACCCCAGAACAGCTAAACTCCTGTCAGAATGTAAAGGAGCTTTACCTTAAATTGCCAACATGGGCAAATCCTATTTCTCCAGGCTTGCAGCTCAGGGGGCACTTCCATCAGAAGAATTAAATTACTTTTTTATGTTCTAAGAGAAGATGGGAGTGGAAGGGTATGTTGTACAGCCCTGGCAATGAGGGGAAGGTGCACAGATGAGCTAAAGGATTGTTTCATGGTTGTTTTGCCATGTATCC